GCACTGAGCATCGACAATGAAATGGCCACTTTTGCTGGTGGTGGGGATTGAGGTGGATGGGTTACAATAAGGCGCACTTGACTTGTCAATGTGTACGCGCGCAGACCCTCGATATTGTGCAACTTCGTGAATGGGGAATGAGCAACTGCGAGAAATAGCAAGATTGATGGACTTCATCCACTACGTGCCTGCAGTAAACCATGTTTACAGTCACCCTCTAGCACAGCTAATGCAGGGAGTTTAAGACAAGAGTAATTATTCTCTGGAGTGAAAAATATTTGTTGTGGATAAAATTTACCCATGTCATGCACTTATTGGAGTTTGGTCTCTCGCTCTTACCGCTTGTCTTTTCCTCCCTCCTGTCAAGATGGACGTAGTCTAGTCATGTTTAACGGAAACGCTTTTCTTTTTTTCTGCAGTCAATCTGAGGCTAGTTTGCTGGAAGCATTTTAAATCCTTTCTTAACTCCTCTCCTCATGCACTATTCAAGTCGTAAATCTTTCGAACTGCTTAAAAATCTAATCTCTGCTTGAAGCATGTCAAGCGACCTTATCTTCTCCATAATTTTGCTTTCTCCACATGTTATTTTAAAACCTTTACTCCTTTGTGCTAGCAGTATAATCTACTCGATTTCACTAATCTTTTTTGAAATTTAGAGTTTGGCTTCTTTTTGCTCTTGATGTTGATGTAATTAATGCCTTCCTATTGCTATTTCAGTGGCGAACGGAAGATGATTCCTCTGGGTCGTTTGTTCACACGGACGGTTCCGTCTTTCCTGAGTCTCTTGGAGATGTTCAGTTTGTCGTCAACACCTTGGAACCTGGAGGAAAGGTGCGCTTACTAGACACGTCCTTTTTTTACACACCATGTCAGTGGATCTTAAATTGGGTTTAAAACTTGCTGACGAAGTCGTTGCTGTTCGGTTATGTTAGGAGCTTGTTGCATCAACTATTTAGGGCACTCCCAACCTTTGACCTTTCCTCATGCATATTCGGCCACTTTACTACACGACCGACGAAGTTTCTTTTTCCTCAACATTCATTCTAACCCTACTCTTGTCTGCAAAACGATTCTGGTTGGCACGTTTTTGAGCATTGGAAAGTGTACGCCTTAACAAAACCGGATAGGATTTCCTTTTTCGCAGAGATGATCCCTTTACGTGTTCGTATTGCAGTCGAAAGTGCTTCTATTTACACTTTAGCTAGGCTAGCACGATGTCTATTTCAGGCAGCAAGCACTTTCTAAGTGAAACTGAAACTATCTATCCGGTCAACCAAATCACTTTGTTTTGTTATCTTGATCCAGAACGTGCTAAAGGCATTTCGTGCAATGTGTGAACTTCAGCTCTCTTTTTTGAGGCTACAATTCCTTTCAACAAATGCTAGTTAATGCCTTTCTGAGTGGGTGCTGGTGCCCTCTAGCTTGCATGCCAGCTTAGGGAGGATTGGGTCGACTTTAGTCTGTTATGCTGCCTCTCAGCCGAGTCGATTGCATGCCGAATGATCGAGTACTTGGGATTTTGCAACGTTCCCCTCTCTCGTATTAAATTGGATCGACCATAACCATTTGTCATTTCGGTCATTATTGGGACACCTTGGGAGAGGGTAAAGCATGCTCTTGTACTGGTATAAGGTTAAGCTGAGATCGCAAGACACACGAGAATTTGTGGGAGATTGAAAAGCAGCAAATGGAGCAATACTTTAGCGGATGCCAGAAACCCCCAATTTTATGCATCATACCTTCTAGCCTCTGTTAACGTTTTGACAGCTAGAATGATTCAGTGGCTAACGTTGCACCAGAAGCTTCTACAGACTAAAATCAACTGATTAACCTCACTTTTTTTCTTTGTGGGTATTGGCCACGGTTGATTGTTTTTAATGTCTGCTACTGATTAAATGAGCTCTGCAAGTGGGGCCTATTTCTTGTGCTTACCTCATTTTTTTGGGTAAACGGGGTCACTGACGTTGGTCTGTAAAGCGTCCGAAGATAATAAAATTGGCATTGTGATCTGTGAGTGAATATAATCGACTTGTGCACCAGGTTTTGGCAATTCGACGCCTCACGGACATTAACAGCTACAGCTGGCCTAGCGACATCAACTCGTTCTCCGTTTTATGTGCGATAGAATCGGGCTTGAATTATGTGCTAAGTAAATACTGATTTGATAAATATTTTGCAAAAACTTCTAGAACGTATTTAGACTACATGAGTAGATTGTCATTACCGTCTTTGTCCGAAGGCCTTATTCCTCCACATTCACTCTCAATTGTTGACTCTTACGGGGTCATCTCTTCCCAGAACTAGCAAACTTACGAAATTTTGCCAAATCCTCCTTCACCTTGATCATGCATCAAGGCTGAATTTGTGTTGTAATCAAGGTTCTTTGGGCATTTATTGGGAGCTTTTGGCGGATAGCGGCTAAAGGACGAGCAGTTTGGATGAATGTTTAGTGAGCATGGAACAAGCTGAAATTGAGTTTTTATTAAACATTTACCCTCAGAAGATTCTGCTCCGTAGATGGCTTTGCTGATTCCGTTGGCCTGATGGAAACCGGTTTTGTGATTTTGCCTAACATTACCTAATCACTGTTGATTGCATGGGCAAGAAACACAAAAAGAAAATAACCAATCTTTACTGTGATGGATTTAAGTTTACGCCAGTTCTCTAATTCTGCTGATTCAGTATAGACAAATGGACTGAAGAGTGGCAAATCAAGTTTACGAAATCTGTGTGTATGGGCAAGGCTGCAGTATAAGCAAACGGTTAGCAACGATGTATTGCCACGAAACCACTTTTGAGAGCCGATAGCAAATCCCATCCTCCTCATGTAAAGTTGCTAATTATCTTGGATTAATTATTCATGGGTGCCTGAAATTTTATTGCCAAATAAGCTGGAGGCTAGTTCATCTTTTGTTTACCTCTCTATTACATGTGGGTAGCTGTTTGTTAGAATATAATGGGTAATGCATTGTTTGCTAAATGGAACTATGGTAAATACGATTTGTCAGTCTTATTTCACCGTACGATAATAACACTTTGAAGCATTGGCGATAAATGAATGACAACGGGGTGGAGTGTAATCACGTGGATGTTTTGTTAATTAGTTACGGTTAATCGACATTAACTGAGAATAGTGTGCAGATTCTCCAGATGAGTTGGGTAATTTGTTTCCATGGCTTTGCGAAGTTGTTCGTGGGGAGGCAGTTCAGGTCTTTTTGTTTTCCCTTCGGTCTGAATTTAAGATAGGGCGGAGGTGCATCGTAGTTAAAGACCTCATAAACATAGTCTCCTCTCACGCCTCCCATCTGGTAGCAGCTGATCTCTCTTTGGCATTAATCTAGGCCGCAGCAACGGCGCTGACACAGGCAGGTTGCACAAAGCTGGCGCGGGTGTCATCCTTCCAGGAGGTACGTCAGGTGCTCAGTGGCCTGGTTTCGTGGGTACAGATGCATCACGTAGAGGACGGAGGTAGAGAGATCCGCTTCTGCGTGGTAGGCGGTGACGCTCTTCTCAACTCCGTCCTCCGGGCTTTCGTTGAAGTGGCAGGCGCGCGTTCTGAAGCTGTTGCTGCCGCTTTTCGCTTCTTCCTTGTTCCTGTCTCAGGCCTCCTCCCACCCCCTTCTTTGCGGCAACAGCAACAACAGCACGCTGCCTGTCGTCATCGGAGGTCCAGTTCTTCCACTCTGCCGCCACTGTCGCCACTCTCTTCCGGTGAGTGTTTTGGTATAATTAGTCAACTTAACTTTTACTGCTATTCTGGGCAACTTTCGTGCGCTTGGTTGACCTCTGTCTTTGAAAGCTCAGCTTCAGACTTCTTCCTCACTAGTTGGGAAATTATTGATTCATTGCTTTGACTTTGTTCTTGTTAGTTCATGCTTCATTGAACCGAAATCATATCTGTCGGGTTAATGCCTCCATCTGCTGTTATGAGTTTTTTATGTATATGCAACACGGCTTTCGAGTGGATTTTTGTCCATTATGTCATGAAAAGGAAACAGGTTAATGATTAATGAAAGCACTTGAGCACCCAAAATATTGACGCTGTAGATGTTACTCGGGTGGTGAACAAAAGAGTTCCAAATGGCTTTTACACCTGACTTATTCTAATACAGCGGTCAAATTACATGAGACTGAAGGAAGTTGTGTTGTCAAGCCTGTAATCAACATGATCAAGCCTAACTTGTCTTATTATTGAGGCTTAGTGGTGATTAGGTTAATTGTTCAACTGAATTGAATGCTCTCCCGAAGCAATTCACTGTATGAGCGACTTAGTTTGGCTCTTTAACTTTATAGTGCCCGAATTAAATATTGAAAAAAGTCTGAAAGCTGTTATGTAACGCAAAGACTTGATGCCATCAGTATAGAGTTTGAATCATGTAGTCGACTACGCAATTAAAAGCAGCGTCATTTCGCTGTATAACCACCGTACAGCTTTGATTCTCCCCCGCCCCCCACCTCTCGGCTGTTGCCGTGGTCCCTATTGCAACCGTACTAAAGTAACCTCGACGTAGCAAGGAGAACAGTGAAAATGATTTAAATCATAACTTGAAATCTGTTTATTTAAGTAATTTATCCCCTGGGATAGAATGGATTTCAAACGAATGGTATTAGTAGAAGAGGCTTTGTCGGTCTGTAGCAAATGCAATTCGAGTGTCATTTACGTTCAAATGTTTGTCTGAAGTTTTTTTGTGAGACTGCGTGTTCCATGCGGACTGTTGCTGCCCTTCTTTGCCCTTGTATTGCAGTTTTTTTACCATTCGTTTTTGTCTGGGCTGACCTCAGTGAGAGGCTAGCATAATGCACTTCCAGACTATTGTGTCTACACCCACCTTTTAAGGTCAAGGCTGGAGTGTTTCTAGAATCTCAAAACAAAATCATTGTCTTCCCTCTTTTCAATGTTTGAGTAGGGAAATGTGCCTTTGCCCTTTTGGAATAGGTTCGCTAAGAGCCTAATGTTCATATCCTCTCTAAGTGGAGATTAGTGAAAACGCACAGCGAAATTGGGGGATTTGTAGTCGGGTTGGAAGAAAGTAGATTTAGCTGCACTAAACAATTTGCACTTCTACTTAGCTCCAGCAACGGTAGATTGTTTGACTTCTTCCAAGACCAAAAGCAGACAGACGTTTACTCTAGGATTTATGTGAAAAGTTGTTTGCTTCCATTCAAATCGAGCTCGCCTGCCTAATTGCAGGCTTCCCCTTTTGTTGCACCAAATTCTTCAGTGTAAGTACACTTGTGTCTGTCCTTTTCTCCCACAGAGCGGGATTCATCAAATTATTAATTTTTTATCCTACTAGTCTGTGTAAAAAGGTACAGTGTCATCTACATGTACTATTTCACGCATGATTTGGGAGAGCTTTTTTTGCTAACTCACTGCCAGCCTTAGTCGAAGCTTAGGTCCTCAAACCAGCTCATTTTCAGGTTCATGTTTGGTCACTGGATTAGAAGTCTTATCGGACGAATCTCGACTCAATCTAACACTGTACATGGCTTGAGCTGCCTTCAAAGGCGTCGAATCGGTAATTCTCCTTAACAGTGGTACAATTTTTTCCTTTGCTGGTTTATAGTCGAAGCACTTTTAATCTTATAAAGTTGCGGTTTCAGATCTAAGCATTTCACTCAGTTTTCATTATGGTTTAATGTGAACCTTGGTACATAGAGAAACTGCATCTTTTCTCCTCATTTGGTGGTCAGCTTGAAAGCTTTGCACACTGTGGTATAGAAGCAATTCTTTAAATGTATTTGGACGACATCTTAGGTCAAAAGGTGATAAGAAGAATGTTTCTCTTTGCTTGTGCAACAAAATTAAAATTATCGAAGTTTCGGTACGACTGCAGCTCCCCATTAGAGATTAACCTGCAAAAGTGCATGACAATAGGGCTATTCATCTGCTCAGAAATTGGACAGATGGATAAAATCGGGTTCTCCTTCCTTCCCTCACCTTAGACCTCGTCCGGCCTACCTATCCGGGCTCTCCATCAATTTCACGGGAGTCGCATCCTCCTTCAGCCCTCCCACCCCTCTCAAACCTCATTGCCCAGCGTCTCTGCACCCTCGACCCGTGCTACGCACGTCTCTTCTGCCACTTAGCCGTTGGCGAGGGTGTAAGTGAAGCAGATGCCACCGCAACCACTCCCACTCCAGTTCGAGGCAGACGGATATCGATGGAGGATGGTAGTGTGGAGGGTGAATTTGTACGTCGAGTGGTGGCCTACCTCAGCACTGCCGATTGTCTCCTACCCTTGCCGATTGGCGAGTGTCTAGTGGCAGGAGTAAGGAACAATCTACCTGTGTTAGGCAGTGGTGGAGCCTTTACTACTACTGGTGCCGCTGCTTCTGCTCCACCTGCCTTCAATCCGCCCCTTCCAATGGGAACTGCTAGCGTAGGTTAGTGAATAAAGACCAACTTGGTTGGAACCAGCAGATGCGCTCTATCCGAACACTATATTTTGTAGCGTAGTTTGTACTTTATGGCAGGCAGACAGTGGTGCAGTGCTAGTAGGCAGTATAATTTTCATGGTGCGTGGGTGGAGGGCTGGATATTGGCAGGAAGGCCATTCACCATGACGTGTATGTAAAGTGCAAGTATCGCTTCATTGTATTAATCAGCCTGAAATTTGGTTTTTTTCATGCTTGTTTTTTTTCTCCCAAATTTTGCAATTTCACCTACCGGTATGTTACAGTGCTAATCGGAAAACAAAACAATGGCTATCACCTTTTTAGAGAAGAGTTTTCTAAGTGGACACCTTTACTTGCCACTTGAATCAAAGATCGTCCTAAGTGAACTGTTGGATCAATGTGCTCTAAAGTTAAATTCCACCTTTGGTAAACAACGCTACTTTAACTCCTCAAGTGGGAATCGTTTGATGTGCGACGATCTTCACGCGCATCTGATATCATCCCAAAGGTCACGACGACGATTTGTTTTGACGGCATCGTAAACGTTATGAGTAGTTTACAAAGGTGAATTGGGGGTGGTAGTAAGATGAAACATTAAATTTCGCAAAACAACCACATAAGAAAGGACTCTTAATGAACCGAACTTGCTTTTGTCGTATAACGCTGAAATTGGCTTCTTCATTGTAACTGAACTCTACTCTCATCTGACAAACGGAGCAAAGGAATATGGGCTGGGACGAATGGGGGCAAAACTGATAGTTCAATGTTATGGGTGAGGGTCGATCATTCCCCATTCACGAAGTTGCTCAATATCAAGGGTCTGCGCGCGTACACATTGACAAGTCAAGTGCGCCTTATTATGACCCATCCACCTCAATCCCCACCACCAGCAAAAGTGGCCATTTCATTGTCGATGCTCAGTGC